AATTAAAGTAAAAAATGAGCTCATTTTTATGCTTAACGAAAAAAAATGTGACACGATTTTTCCTGACACTGGAGATGCATTTTGTGTTTTAAAATTTCTTGTATGGCCCCTAAAGCAAGTACGAAGGAAAAAAAGAGACCTGCCATTAAAATAACAGGAGCTCAAGGTGACTGAGTGGTCACTGTTTTCCACATGTCTGACTCGTTTAACCCTCTGCGGTGGGTACAATTACTGTCTCCATTTCAGGTATGGAAACTGAGGCAGAGAGAAATTAGAAACTTGCCCCATTGTAAGTACTGAACTGGAACATGAACCCAGGTTGTCTGGTTCCAATGCTTGTGTTCTCAAACACACACACACTGTTTTGGGGCTTAACAGTAGGTGTCTTTTGAAAAACAAAAATGTGTTAAAGAGTATCAACAATCCATGAGAGGAAAAAAGTTACGGTTTCATTAAGAATTTTTAAAAGCCTTTATAGTAGCTCTTTGTGGATGATAATTGTTAATTCTGGATCTTACTGCCCTTGATTGAATGGGTCACTTTTGTGGATAGACATTATTTCATTAACATGTATTTAAATAAGTTGCTTATAAAATCATCCTGAACATCCACACAATTAAGAGTTTTATATATTTCTAAACCACAACTACACACAGTACTGTGATGTCTCACTTTGGACCCAAGTCACAGAAGTTGGTTTGTGAAAATTAAAGTCACAGAATGACAACAAGAGAGAGTTGAATAAAAATGAGATTAAGAACAATCTACAGCTATAGTAACTTCGAACTACTGTTGCATTCACTAACAGCAAATTTAATTTTGGTGTATACGCCAAATTATTAACTCATGTTTTTCTTCTCCAAGCTGATTATTAACTCCTTGAAGGAAAAGCCACATTATAGCTTCCTTTGGTAATTGTCCCGATTACCTCAGGCCTTCCACAGCTCTGAGCACGTGGAGAACCTCACACAACTCACCAAATCAAACTAGTCAGGAAAACTACAGCTCTCAGAGAAACACAGAAATCAAAGACCAGATTTTGTTATCTACTTGTTATTTTCTCTTCTGGCCAAGGAAAGCTAGTTAAGCACCCTCCAGTAGGTGAAGAAAGGAGGACACTTAGCTGGTCAGGGACAATGTAAAAATGACAATATAAACACATACCTGGTCCTCTCCCTCCACTTGTCTGAATGTGGCTCCGATTAAATGATGCAACATTATCAGTTTGAAACTTCTGATTTTCTCTCTGTTTTGCCTGATCACCAAATCCATTTTCTTTTGAATTATCTGACTTATAAACTGTGGGCTTTTCACATCCTTAAAAAGATAAAAATGTATCATTCCCTTCCCATCAGTAGAGGAGATGTTTGAATCATTGTTTCAGACATTTTTAGCTGTAGACAAAATTACCTAAAACTTAGAGGACTGACATTGCTCAAAGATTTCTACATACTCCGTAATGCATCCAAAAATGGCCTGCTTTGGACTTTTCCAGTTCACTAAATCACTTAAAATTTACTGCTAGAAAGAGCTACCAGCCAAGCAGCCTCTTCTGTGCTTGTGTGACCCTAATAGTAAGTGACTCCTGAAGGTACTTCTGAGGCCACTGATGAGGAAAGGTTCCTCTCTAAAGATTAACAACCAATACTAACATTTTCCTGAACTCCACTTTACTGAAACTTGAATTTGAAATTATACTGAACACTCATTTTATATCCAGTATATTAATATTCCTAGTTAAATAGAAAACACTGAAAAATTAAAAAAGAAAAGAATTACCCATATTTTCTCCAACAGACTTGTAATGTGACCAGTTGACAACCTGCCTAAGTGCATCTTCAGTAGAAACTGCTGTGCCATCTGGGTTTGCATAAAACAAAAGCAGTGGCTGAAAGTGGCATCGGAGACACTTGGAGACAACATCTTTCCATCTAGTTCCAACCTTTAAAAAAAACCACAGTGAATTAAAATA